GGAGCTTTGTTTTCTGACCTCAATGACTAACAAATGATGGTTTCCAGCATACTATATGCCTATTTTGCGGTTCAATGTAATATTATTGGATCAATTCATTCTTGTTATTGTCTTCTAACAACTTCGTCGGTTCAAGGGTAATATTTATTGCTTCATGTCTGCACAACGTTTGTTATGACTCAACTGAAGCCACTAAGATGTTGCGGTGTTTTTGTGTTATGCCAGATAATATATTTGAGCCTTATGGTTTTGGAAGTTGTGGTCATTTGTATACATTATGGTGCAAAAATAATGCAATAGCGTTTCTAGTGTTTTCTTTGTATTAACATTGTAATAATGTACTGTTGTAAATTCAATGGGGCTTTAAGGCCATACGCAAGAGGCGCAATAGCAATGCAAGCTAACCGAAAATTGACCTGCATGGGTCTCGAAACCCTCTCGCAAACTGTCTTGAAACTGTCCCCGAAGTCACTTTGGGGTCAATTGCTGAGTACTGTTTCGGGACATTTCACTTAGTCCCGAAAGTGTCTTTGGGGACACTTTCTCAAGTGTCCCGAATCTGTTCCAAAAGACTCCCGTGGGAGTGTTTTGGGACATTACATTTTGGAGATGCTACTGACTGATGGTCTTCCCTTTCCACGCGAGAAGCCGTTGCAGCAGAGGTGTTGAAGGGGGCTGCACTGAAGGCACTTACTAATAATCTTCCCTTTCGACGCGTGAGGCTTGGCCTGAGCGGCAGATGCGGCAGTTAATTCGCTGCCGTCATGTGGAAGTGGCGCGACGAGCGATCCTGCTGCTGACGCTATGGCCGTGAAGAGCGCCGCACCTGGCGGCAGACAGAGGAGGGCAGAGCAGGGAAGAGTAGCAACGCAGCAGATGAGGATGTGCAGCACCAGCAGCAGCAGCAACAGAGGCGACAGTAGCAGTGCTTTACCGAGCAGGATGGCGAAGAGAGGGCGCTCCATAATTGGTCGCAGCCTAGTGATGAGAAGTGATGCTCAGCCTTTCTCAGCCTGAGGCGGTGAGCCTGGTAGCCTGGTATCGATACCAGCCTGAGGCTGATCAGCCTGGCCCAGGCCCTTAGTAGGGACTTCGTCGAAAGCCTTCGTCGGAAGCGATGCAAGATTCAAATGAGGGACTTCGTAAACTGTCGGACCTTTCATTCAGCCACTTCGTCCCCCAACCCAACCCAAACCCGTGGTGAGGATGAAGGCTCAAAGTTTGGGCTTTATTTTTTCACCAATCTGACCCGCATTGAAAGTTCTAACAGTTTCCCACAAAATCAACACGCCATCGGTTTTGTACGAGTGTTAGGGAAGTAGAAGTGACGATGGTGGCGATTTGCGGAGAAATCCGGATGGAGAAGTCGTGATATGTGTCTCGCCAACCCCGTACCCCGCCCCAGGAAGTCAGGATGTTTTACCCTGATTAGCCCGTTTTTCAGAGTGATTTTTTCATGCTACCCGGCAAAATTTCAATTTGGAAACCTTATCACCCTAACACTGATAGACATGATTCGAAACCTACCCTTTATTTGCAGGTGAGAGCGTTTTTTCAGGCCTGCCAGATCCGTGTCTAAGTCAATTTACTCTGCCAGACTCCTCTACGAGTCGAGCTGAAATTTGGCTAGGTCGCTAAAAGTTTAGAGATTTGGCCCAAGTCAATGAAACACACTAGATTGTTGTCCCATTCAGTGAGACACGCTGAAAATAGCGGAGTCACTGAAACTTACTGGAAATCAGGTCAAGCCAGTGAGGCACAGAAAACTACGCGAAGTCTCTGAAACACACTGGATATTTGAGAGAAGCTGAAACCAGGCTGAACAGGCAAAGCACCCTGGGAATCGACCACAAGATTTGTCCAGGTCAGGCAAATCACGCCTGAACAGGCTGAACAGGCAAAGCTCGACCCTTCACAAACTCTTTCCCCTCTCCCCGTTTCGTTGCCTCTCCTGCCACATCCCCAAACCTCCAGTGGCTTTGTGTGGTTTTTTTCTTTCGAAGAAAAACGAGTTTAACCCTGCCATTTCAAGGGAAATATAAAAACGCTGCAATTTCTCGAGAATTGCAGGGTGAAGGTAGGCCACATATCGAGAGGCCTGCCCACCCCCTTCACGGAGCCAGCTGAAATGTACACCACAACTTCTCCCACTTCGTTCAGTCAAGTGGGAACAGTCAAGAATACTGTATTTGAAAGACCAGCAGAAACCGCCCTGCATGACTACGGGCATGTTGACGGCAAACCTCACATGAAAGGTTCGGGCTAAGGACGCGGTGCATATCGGGCAATTCAAGCCTCAGATTGTCGATCGGGTCGGGTCGGGTCGGATTGCTTGGGACTGCCCCAATCTGAGGCAATATGTCGATCGCTTACCGAGCCGCGGGACGAGTGAATTTCGGAGAAGTCAGTTAGAATTAGCAGCGCGGGTTTTATTCAATCGTTTCTTCCCTACAGAATTTTCGAAAATTTTATCGCGCAATTACAACGTAGCCCCAATTTTGGTTCCCGATTTTTCCTGCTCTTCCCCCAGGCTGCTTCTGCTCTTGCGCGATTTCCAATGATTGCGTCAGATCGAGGCAATCGATCGTAATCGATCAGGTTTCCGATCGCAATCGACAGATTGCCCCCGATTGCATGCGATTGCCTCAAAATACGCCAGGGACTTACTGGAAATGGTGGATTGCCCCAATCTGGGGCAATCGGTCTCAAATCGCCCCGATCTGCACGGCGTCCTAAACCCTCGTGAACTTTCTTGTTTCTGACACCCTTTGTTCATTTTCGGATAATGAAATGGGCACCCAGAGACTTCGGGACTTTTTCCGGCAGCAAGAAGCATTCCCGTCTAGTGAAACTCACAATTGGCGCCCCAAGATAGAGGGCGGATCGGCATTGACAAAGTTTTTACTGCTGTCATCTCGTGAAGGAAATGCTAGAGACCACCTTCATAAATTTTCATACTACTCCTATAAACTTGTTTGACCTAGGAGAAGTACCCTCGCGTGGGTACCATATTGCACCTAGGGGATTCGGGGACTCGTGCGGATTCACCGCTAGGCGACAGTGGAATTTCGTCCACCAGACACATTCGGAGGAAATGACTGTCGCCACGTTTGTCGACTCTCTTGGCTGTTGCCTCTCTCAATGGATTGTTACAGTAAAAGTCTTCCAAATATACGGAGAAAGTAGGTGTACAGTACAGCAATGGAGGGAACCATTTGCCCAACGGCGAAAGTAGGTGTACCGTGGCGCTCATTGCACCAGTCGTGTCGTGAGATCACATCGCCACTGGGCTGTTTCACTGGCTTCGCTGAGTGTCAAAACAGTACCAACGAGAACTATTGGACAATACATCTCACTCGGTAGATGGCATGCCTTCCGATGGGGGTTTATTTATTTTTTTTCTTGCCCGCTGACTCATTGCACTGCCTGCGTCAGCAGGCAGTGCAATGAGTCAGCGGGCAAGAAAAAAAATAATACCCACTCGGAAGGCATGCCATCCGAGGGAGCCTCAACCCTATTGGACAATAACCGGCAGCACCAGGCCTAGGCAGAAACCTAGGGCTATTCCGAACTGCCCCGGCGAGAATGTGAGATCCCCCCGCGTGGGGATGGCGTACAGCCAGTCCCCTGCCCCCACCCCCTGCAGGCTGAGCAGCCTAACTACGTGCCCGTTGTCTTCCCCCAGTCTGTCCATCCTTGTGTCGCCGACAAGTTCCGCCTCCCGATGGAGATTTATCTGCTGCGACAGGTGGCCCCTTCCGCCTGTGTTGTCCCCTGGATCCCTCAGGATCTCCCACGCTGTCTCAGGCAGCCTGGCCCGCAGATCCCGGATTAGCGCACCCCCCTCCCCCGCCCCCCCCCGCTCATGTGGGTGACACCAATTCCGCCACCAGCTGCAGGTGATGGTTCGGTGAGGGCGGCATCTGTTGCAGCAGTGTCTGTGCCGCCTTCAGGGACGAGAGATATGCCGCTGGTGCTTCCGACAATGGGTCTATGAACCCCACTCCTCCCAACGCAATCGGCAACGTTGCTCCAGCAGACGTTCTTTGCTTGGCACGTTGATGCTGGCCGCCCTCAGCGTCGTCCACAGGAGCCTCTCGCTCCAGCCCCGCCATTCTCCGAGGGGCAATACATCTGCGGGTGTCGTACGCACCAGGTAGGAGTTTTTCCAAGATATACATCTCGATAGCAGCAGCATCGCGTCTTGCGGGTGTAGTCTGCTCACCAACCGTAGCGGGTGTGCAATCCCTTCCAGCGCCTCCCTGAGTGAGCGTCTGCAGTAGGCTGTCGTGCCAATGGGGCTCCCGAGGACTTTCACTCCGTCTACCGCCGCCGCCAACCCTTCGGGCAGTTCGCCTGGGCAGCCTGCAGGGCTCCACGCTGACGATTTGGAGAGGTTGCAACGTAACTCTAGGCCGTTTAGCGCTTCGCTGATCATGGTGAAGGCCCTCGCCGCCGCCGCGGGCTGCCCGATGATGGTGATGTCATCCGCGTATGCCATTACCGTGACGTCCGGGACCGCCGTATCCGCCGCCAGCAGAGCCGGTTGTATCGCTAAGGCGAAGAGCATGGGTCCGAGCGGGTCCCCTTGTCGAACACCTCGAACGCTGTCAATAGCTCTGACGTTGAAACTCTTGTCTAGCAGCAGTGGTGACGTCGAGGTTCGTGTCTGCTCGGTTGCGAGTTTGCAGGATAGGCGCAGGCCTGCAGGTACAGTGGGCCCCAGTTTTCTTCTCGGAATTGTCGCAGCCGTTTCTCCACCTCCGCGAGGTTTTTGCCCGATAGTTTCTCTGTTCCGGCCCTCAAACACAGCCTCGGCAGGAATAGCAAAATCCGCCATGCTCCTATCCGCCAGTCGGAGGAGGGGTATCGTGAGGCAGTGGCTGAATGACTTTAGGATCTCGGGTGGAAGCTTCCTCATGAGGAAGGGTTGCGAGCTGACCCGAAGTGGGTCGAGGTCCCAGCTCTCGACTGTCCGCCACGCGTCATTGTCGCCTGCGATGTCACTGGGCGATCGTTCCTTGCTGGCAGCCTCGTTGCCCTGTGGAGCAGGTGATTCGCCCACCTGTGCGTTAGCGTCTGCATCTCCCCCTTCCCGCCTTTCTCTGTTGCCACGTCTTCCCCTTGCTTGGCTCTGGACAGGGCCTCCATCCTCTGCCTCCAAAGAAACCTCCTCTGACTCTGCCTCCTCTTCCCCCATATATTCTGACTCTGTCTCCCCTCCCGCATCATTCATTGGTTCCGCCTCTGGTTCCTCAGGTCTTCCATGCCTCTCCCGCCAATTTCCAGATCTCGCCTTTTCCCTCGCCACTGCCCTCACTAGCTCCCCCACGTGCCCTCCCCGTCCCCGGCCTCTCCCGCGTTCCCTGGTGCCCGTCCGTCCCGCCGTGTTTCGCGGCCGTCGTGCCGCCGCGTCGTCCTCCGCCCGTTCTCGTAAGGCTCGCTGCCTGTTTGTCTCCGTCCATTCCCTCTGCTACGCTCGTGTCGCCACGGCTCTGTCCTCCTCGTTTACCCCGCCTTCTCCCATATCGGGCCGACCCGTCTGCTGATGCTCGTCCTCCGTGTCTCTCTGTGCTTGCAGGTGTCGCTCCGATGACGGGAAAGCGCCGTCATCCCGTCCAGTCGGACCGCCCTGCTGTATCTGCTGTTCCCAGCCCGTCAAAGGCCCAGGAAGTGCTGGCGCCAGCCCTGCTCCGAGCTGTCGCTGCGCTGGTTGAGCACGAGGGGGCTGGAACCCCTGCCCGCCGCCGGGAGCCGGTGTATCGATCTCCTCGCGGCCAGACTCATCCCCACCTCTGCGCTCGCGGCGGGTCGTTTCGCCGCCGCCGTCCGCCCCGGCCTCCTCCTGCGGTGCAGCGGGTGATCGTTGGCCCCCTCCTACAGCCGCACGCGACGTCCCTGCGCTTGGCCGCGTCGCCTTCTCCCTCGCCGTCTGGGTCTCTGCAGTTCTCGCAGCAAATGTCATCTGGTGTCGCTGCGCTCCCGCCTCCGATGTCGCCGCAGCCTCGGGCGCCGTCTGCCCCTCTATCGGCTCCGGTCCCGGCTCCGCCACCTTCCTCGTCTCGTCCTCTGGCGCCTCTTCCGCTGGCGTCGTCTGCCGGGGAGCCGCTCGCGATCCCCCCCCAACACCCGTCGCCCTCCTCATGCGTCCCACTTGTGGAGCCTCCGTCGCGGCAGCATCCGCTTGTTCCATCGGGGTCAGTGCCTGAGGCCCGCTTTCCTCCTCCTCGTGCCCGGTCTCCCGAGCTTCCTCCTGATGCTCCCGATCCCGAGGATGATGAACGGTGGTGGAATAGGGAGCTGTGGGAGTCTTCCCCACAGCCCGCGACTTTGTGCGGCCGGGAGTGGGACATCCAGTCCGACTTCGTGAAGGATGTCCTTCAATGGGAGAAGCGGATGTTGGCCGTTGGCGAGTGCTTGTCGCATGTGGCGACTATGCTTGAGCAGTTGCACGCCGGCTTGATGGCGCGGAACCTCGTGCTCCGGGATCCTCAGCTGACGGAGCCCCAGCAGGGTGTTGTTCGCGAAGCGGCGGCGCAAGGTCTTTGGCGTCTCCTCCGTTTGACCCTGGAGTCCGAGTTCCCCGATCTGGACGAGGGCCCTGGCGTGCGGGCTTTCCGACAGGTCGCCAAGGCTGCCGAGGAGTCTCCCCTCCAGCTCGTGCCCGCGCTCGCTGTTCTCTTGCGCTGGATCCGCCGGCGCTTTTACGTCCCGAACCGCGTGTAGCGCCCCGCTCCCTCTTGGCCTTGGTGTTTGCCTTCTTGTTCCCCATATTAGCCTCCCCTTACTTACCTTGCCCTTGTTCTATGGACCCTATCTAGTGCTGCATCTTGTATCTCTCCTCTTGAGTGTTGTTGTAACTTGCCGTCCCCTCACGCGGTTGAGCGAAGGCGGCCGGCGCGAGCCGCCGGATTCGCAGTGAGAATGAACTCTCCACCGAACAATGACGAGTAGGGGATGTAGGGGATGGCGAGTAGCCAGTCCCCCGCCCCATAGCCCGTGAGTGAGATTAGGCGCTGTGTGTGGCCTGCCAGGGGGTTCAGCTCCATTTGTCTAGAGGCAGTGATCTGCGCGGCACTCCGGCTGCCTTGGACTATCAATGCCAGGCAGTGCTGTAGCTGGCCTGCGGGTTTGGCCAGTTCGGAGGTAATCAGGTCCCTTGCTTCCTGTGTTAGGCTCGCTCTGCAGTCATTGATCCACCTCTGCAGCTCGTTCGGGCTCGGGTCTGCTGCTTCAGGGCTGTGCAGTGCTGCCGTGCGGTGAGACCCCGCCGGACCCGGGAGGGGGCTGAGGAGGGAATGCGCCTGTACGAGGCTGGCCAGGAAGCTGTACCGGCCTTCTACCACGGGGTCGGCGAGGCCTAGCCCGCCGAGGCTTGGCGGGAGTGATGCCTGGTCCCATATCCGCCCGGCCTCTGCCTCTCCCCTTGGGTGGCGCACCCCACATGCGTCGAGAAGGGCGTGTAGCAGGGCCCGGCCCCACCTGGACCATTCGGCTTCGGGCAGCAGGTAGAGAGGGGTGGTGCGGGCGAGGTAGGAGATGCGCCGAGAAATGCACCGTGTCAGCAGCAGAGAGGTTACTTGGGGGTCCACGTTAGAGAGGTGCGGCATGGGGGGTTCGCATTCGGCGAGCCAGGAGTGGAGCGGCGTGCTCTTGTCTCTAGGCAGGAGCATATGGCCGCGCGCGTGAGACAGTGCAGAGTCCGGGGCTAGCGCGAGCGCGGAGAAGAGCAGCGCCGCCTGCGTGAAGCTTGCGACAAAACCGTAAACTCCCTCGATGAGAGGGTCTGTAATGCCTACTCCACCAAGAGAGGTGGGCAGGGACGCCTGAGCCCAGACGCGTGACTGTTCTGCTCTGCCCGCCGGAGCGCGAATGTTGCACGAGGTAAGTAGTGCCAAGAGGAGGTCACGGCCCCACTCGGTCCATGTATCCTGGGAGACGAGATTGAGGGGGGTTGTTCGAGTGAGACACGCCACGCGCCGAGAAATGCAGCGAGGCGACCTGTGGGTCGGCCTGCTTGATGAGTGTCAATGGTTTCGCCAAGTCCCTCAGCTGCCCCGCCAAGAACGTGGCTGCCCCGTCGGCCGCCCCTATAAAACTTCCCAACAGACGGACGCCGTCCTTGCAGAACGGCACCCCTGGAGGCAGCTCAGTTGAATTGCACGTCGCAGCGCTCCATGCGGTACACTTTTGCGGGTTGTGTTTCAAGCCCAGCAATTCCAACCTCGTGGTGAAGTGGGTGAAGGCAGCTACAGTTGCACGTGGTTCACCCACGAATGTCACGTCGTCTGCATAAGCCAAGCAAAGCACCTCAGGGTGTGCTGCTGCAGTGTCGCGAAGTGTGGGGTGAATTCCCGCCGCAAAAAGGAGTGGGCCCAGTGGATCGCCCTGGCGAACGCCTCGTTCACTACGCAGGGGTTCGCTCGCAAAGTTCGAATCCAGGTGCAGCCGCGATGGGTTACCGTAGGTCAGGCGAACCAGTGGTAGCAGCGGCGACAGGGTGGGTTCTTGTAACACGGCTGCGATGGACTGTCGCGAAATGCTGTTGAAAGCATTCGCGATGTCGGTCTGCAGTACCAGGCTGTTGGGGTGGCCGTCCACGTACGTTCGGGCGGCATGAATTATCGCTTCCGCCCCTCCTGGCATCGCCACGCCGTACTGTAGGGGTAGGAAGTGTTCACGTGCAGCTTCGCCCATGACTGAGAGCGCAGCCTTGGCAGCCAGACGCGTCAGGCATTCGCCGATCGCGATTGGTCGGGCACCTCCTCCAGGCTTGGCCAGGGCTATGAGTCAAGATGCTGTCAGCAGGTCTGCCACCGAGGCTGGGAGGTTTCCCCCCAGAATTGTGTTTACCAGGGCGTGCAGATGGGTGCTGACGGATGCATTGGTTACTGCCGCGTCGCGAAGATTCTCAAATGTTGTGCCTGATGGTCCGGCCCCCACGCCATTATCGCATCGCCCAGGGAAATGCCCAGGGGACGGGTGTCGGTTGCTTGCCAAGTCAGCGGCTCTGCCCTTGCTGGCGGGTGTTTCTGGCGAAGTTCGTCCAGGATTTCTGGACTTGGCGTGCAGACGGGTGTTGACTCGAGCGCCAGCACGGCTCGGCGCAGACTGCCACGTTTTGCCAACCCCTCCGCTCGACTCAGTACACCTGTCACGTCGGGTTGGTGACGCGGGGGTGGAGGGGTGTTGACCGCGTTTACTGCATCCTGGTAGAGCTGCGTCCACTCGCCACGCTGGAAAGCCCGAAGCCGGGCCTTGATTTCCGGCCAGTTTGGGTGCTTTGGCGAAGCTTGGCGAAGGGTTAGACGCGGGAGGAAAAGGAGTAGTCGCCAACCGGCCTCGGAATCAGGGTTTCGCGAGAGGTGGTGTAGGGGAGTCAGGAGTGCCAGCGAAAATAACTGGCACAAATTTGGCGGTAATCGTCTCGACAGTGGCGGTTGTCGACTGTCGCAGAGGGCGGAAACATCCCAGTTTGCGATGTCAGCGAACATGTCGCTCCTCTCTGCCAACTCCTCTGGCGAAAAATAGCGAGGCAGCTGCGGGGTCGCGACTAACGCATGGTGGAATAATGCGGTCCGATTTCTTCGAGCGCGGCTCGATCTCGCTGATTGCTGCCGAGTTGGATTCCCACCCGTTCGATCAGCAGCCGACGGCCCTGCTTGCCCCTCCGTTTCTGCCGTGGGTAAATTGGCTGCACCTGGTCCTCTGCTCCCCGTTCCTACCCTTGTTATCTCAGCTCCATCCCCCTCTTCGTTTTCACTCTCTGGCTGCACTTCCACTGTATAAGAGGGGTCATTTCTCTCTTCGACTTCATTAGCTGCTACCAGAGCTATTAAAGCCCGACGCCCTGCCGCCTGATACCCCTTTTCCGGTCCTCCGCCTGCTTCGCTAACCGCTTGGCTCCTCTCTCCCTGAGCCCCTGAAAAGATCCTCTGAGAAGATTCCTCACCCCGGACCCGCGGCTCTCCTTGTCGCGGATGCGCCTGGTTCAACTGCGACTGTTGTCGCTCAGACTCCTGCAACTGCTGCTGCTGTTCCATCCGCCCCGCCTGTGCCAGCTGAACCCCAGGCGTCCCCTGCTGCACCGCCGGAGTCTGTCGCCGACCCCTCGGCTCCCTTGCCTGCGGGACTTGTTGCCGCGCCTGAGTTGCCGACTCCTGCCTCTGCCTCGTCCCCGCAGGCGGCGTCCGCCACCACTGGCGGCCCGGCCCCGTTGGTTGCGCCGCCGGTTGGGGGTCCGACTGCACCTGTTGTGCCACCGACTGCTCCTGTGGCACAGCTGTCTCGCCCGCCGTCACCTGGCCGCCGCCCATCTCGCCCTCAATCTCCCGCTCCCCAGCAGGATCGTCAGTCCTCACTGCGCCGGCACAATTCTCCCCGTCGCCCGCATCAGCAGGCCCAGTGGCACGCGAACCACGGCGGCCGCGGTGGCTGGTGGGGTCCCCGCGATCGCGGAGGTGGTGGGGCGTACGATCCGCCCGTGAGGATGGCGGATCTGCAGCGGGCGGTGTGAACTACGGTGCGTGAGGAGAGGGCCGCCCTGACCCAGGGCAGCTCTCACGTTGTCGTGGCACGTGCTGCTCCTCGACAGGCTGTACTTCCTGAGGATCCGACGCCTGCTGCACCCGTCCCACAACAGATTCCGGCCCCGTTGGCTCCCGCTGTTTCTGCCTCTGCTCCTGTTCCTGGGTCTCGGCTTCGTCTCCCGCCCGTTCCACCTGTGGCGGGAGTTGAATTTGTGGCCGCGGGAGGAGGAGCGCAGTGTCCTCATCCCCGAGTTGGCGGTTCAGCAACTCCTGCCCTCGAGGAGCCGTTTCAGTTTCTGGCGCAGGCATTACAGCCTCCACAGTCCCGTGTTCCAGAGGAGACTCTCGCCCAGCTCTTCCGCCTCGCGGAGAGCTTTCACACTCTTCTCCTGATACAGGTTCTCACGCATTCGTCACTTCCTGCAGTTCCCCCTGAGACGTTCCAAGATTGCCACCGTGAGTCGTGCCTGGACGCAGCCGACCAGCTCGCAGTGCTGCTGGCGCCCGTGCTGGCTGCGCCCGTAGAGGGTGGAGTTGCGGCTGCTGGGCAGCTCGATGAGGCTGTACGCAGCCTGAGGCGCCATTTGCGTGCAGGTTCTGGAGCCGCCGCGATCGGCGCAAGCACGCTTGTGGTCCGGGAGCTGTGGCGCTCCCTGACGGGCGTTCTTCACGCCCTTGGAGCTCACCGCATGTAGTCGCGGGCTCCATTTGCCCCATGCTTGGTTTTCTTGGCTAGGCTACCGTAGCAAATGCCATGCTTGTACTGATTTCGATTATGAACCACTGTGTGTGTTGTCACCTACCGTCCCCTCACGCGCGGCCGAAGGCCGCGCCGTCGAGCGCCGGCCACCGAAGGGGCCCAGAGGGGCCTCTTATATAGCTCACAAAGGAGAGGGCAGAGGGCTAAATGGGAGAGGACAGAGGCTATGATCCTCTCTCTCTCTCTCTCTCTCGCTCTCTCGAACGAGCGAAATTTTTCTGCACCAACTCAACAATGACAAGTTCCCTGGTATATAAGGGCAAGGATCCCACTCTCATCCTCATTGTTCGGTGGTGAGTTCATTCTCACTGCGAATTCGGCGGCTCGCGCCGGCCGCCTTCGCTCGACAGCGTGAGGGGACGGCAAGTTACAACAACACTCAAGAGGAGAGATACAAGATGCAGCACTAGATAGGGTCCATAGAACAAGGGCAAGGTAAGTAAGGGGAGGCTAATATGGGGAACAAGAAGGCAAACACCAAGGCCAAGAGGGAGCGGGGCGCTACATGCGGTTCAGGACGTAAAAGCGCCGGCGGATCCAGCGCAAGAGAACAGCGAGCGTCAAGAAAACTCGGACTCCAGGGTCAAACGGAGGAGACGCCAAAGACCTTGCGCCGCCGCTTCGCGAACAACACCCTGCTGGGGCTCCGTCAGCTGAGGATCTCGGAGCACGAGGTTCCGCGCCATCAAGCCGGCGTGCAACTGCTCAAGCATAGTCGCCACATGCGACAAGCACTCGCCAACGGCCAACATCCGCTTCTCCCATCGAAGGACATCCTTCACGAAGTCGGACTGGATGTCCCACTCCCGGCCGCACAAAGTCGCGAACTGTGGGGGAGACTCCCACAGCTCCCTATTCTACCACCGTTCATCATCCTCGGGATCGGGAGCATCAGGAGGAAGCCCGGGAGACCGGGCACGAGGAGGAGGAAAGCGGGCCTCAGGCACTGACCCCGATGGAACAAGCAGATGCTGCCGCGACGGAGGCTCCACAAGTGGGACACATGAGGAGGGCGACGGGTGTTGGGGGGGGATCGCGAGCGGCTCCCCGGCAGACGACGCCAGCGGAAGAGGCGCCAGAGGACGAGACGAGGAAGGCGGTGGAGCCGGGACCGGAGCCGATAGAGGGGCAGACGGCGCCCGAGGTTGCGGCGACATCGGAGGCGGGAGCGCAGCGGCACCAGATGACATTTGCTGCGAGAACTGCAGAGACCCAGACGGCGAGGGAGGAGGCGACGCGGCCAAGCGCAGGGAAGTCGCGTGCGGCTGTAGGAGGGGGCCAACGATCACCCGCTGCACCGCGGGAGGAGGCCGGGGCGGACGGCGGCGGCGAAACGACCCGCCGCGAGCGCGGAGGTGGGGATAAGTCTGGCCGCGAGGAGATCGATACACCGGCTCCCGGCGGCGGGCAGGGGTTCCAGCCCCCTCGTGCTCGACCAGCGCAGCGACAGCTCGGAGCAGGGCTGGCGCCAGCACTTCCTGGGCCTTTGACGGGCTGGGAACAGCAGATACAGCAGGGCGGTCCGACTGGACGGGATGACGGCGCTTTCCCGTCATCGGAGCGACACCTGCAAGCACAGAGAGACACGGAGGACGAGCATCAGCAGACGGGTCGGCCCGATATGGGAGAAGGCGGGGTAAACGAGGAGGACAGAGCCGTGGCGACACGAGCGCAGCAGAGGGAATGGACGGAGACAAACAGGCAGCGAGCCTTACGAGAACGGGCGGAGGACGACGCGGCGGCACGACGGCCGCGAAACACGGCGGGACGGACGGGCACCAGGGAACGCGGGAGAGGCCGGGGACGGGGAGGGCACGTGGGGGAGCTAGTGAGGGCAGTGGCGAGGGAAAAGGCGAGATCTGGAAATTGGCGGGAGAGGCATGGAAGACATGAGGAACCAGAGGCGGAACCAATGAATGATGCGGGAGGGGAGACAGAGTCAGAATATATGGGGGAAGAGGAGGCAGAGTCAGAGGAGGTTTCTTTGGAGGCAGAGGATGGAGGCCCTGTCCAGAGCCGAGCAAGGGGAAGACGTGGCAACAGAGAAAGGCGGGAAGGGGGAGATGCAGACGCTAACGCACAGGTGGGCGAATCACCTGCTCCACAGGGCAACGAGGCTGCCAGCAAGGAATGATCGCCCAGTGACATCGCAGGCGACAATGACGCGTGGCGGACAGTCGAGAGCTGGGACCTCGACCCACTTCGGGTCAGCTCGCAACCCTTCCTCGTGAGGAAGCTTCCACCCGAGATCCTAATGTCATTCAGCCACTGCCTCACGATACCCCTCCTCCGATTGGCGGATAGGAGCATGGCGGATTTTGCTATTCCTGCCGAGGCTGTGTTTGAGGGCCGGAACAGAGAAACTACCGGGCAAAAACCTCGCGGTTCAGGACATAAAACCACCGAACAATGAGGATGAGAGTGGGATCCTTGCCCTTATATAGCAGGGAACTTGGCTGAAAAAATATAGGAACTAGTCTCTCTCTATCTCTCTCTCTACTTTTTTGCACTATGATCAATATAAAAGCCTTGCATCACACCTCCCCTTACCCTTCTTTTCCTCCGTGTCGCCCGAGATCTCCTCCTCCCGTCTCTCGTTATCATTCTCCCCACGTCCCCCACTCCCCTCATCGCCCGCGCCCGCCCCCCGCCGTCGCCCGCCCCCGCCCACCCGCCGTTGCCCGCGCCAGCCCGTCGCCCGCGCCCGCCTTCCTCCGTCGCCCTCCCTACGTCCTATACTCATCTCGTCGTCCTCCTTACTCCCCCAACCCCCCTCCCTCCCACCCGCGTCCTATACTCCTCCTGTCGTCCTCTCTCCCCTCCCCCCCCCCCCCCCCCGCCCCGCGTCCTATACTTCTCCCGTCGTCTCCTCCCCCCCCCTCCTCCCCGCGTCCTATACTCCACCCGCCGTCTCCTCCCCCCCATGCCCTTCGTCCTATACTCCTCCCGTCGTCTCCGCCCCACACCGCGTCCTATAGTGCGTGGCTGATTACGTTAGTAAGTGCGTGAGTGAGTGCGCGGGTGATTGCGAGGGTAATCAAATGCATGACCGAATGTGAAAGTGTGTGCGTACCTGTTTGCAAGGCTGAGTGCAAGCTAGTATGTGAAGTTGAGTGCGAGGGTAAGTACGAGAGCGTGGCTGAATTCAAGGGTGTATGAGAGGGTGAGTGGAAGTATGGATGTGTGGCTGACTACGTGACAGAGTTCGTGGCTGAGTGCGTGGCTAAGTGCGAGAGTGGGTGCGTGACCGAGTGTGTAAAGAAGTGAGTGAGTGAATAAGTACAAAGGCGAGCGCGAGGATGACTTCGCAACTGGGTGCAACGTCCTGCGTGTTTGTATATAGTCAGGTGCGACACTGAGTGCGTGGCTGAGTGTACGAGCGAGTGCATGGATGAGAACGAGTGTAAGTGCTTGGTAAAGTGCGAGGGTAGATGTGGTGACAAAATAGGGTGGATATAGAGTGAAAGTGGGTGGGCGACGTATAATTCAATGGGAGGGTAAAGAAACTTGAATATATGGTGAAACGATCTTGCTGACGCAATTCTTGTGCTTTTAATTTATGTGTTCCCCCTTTGGTGTTGGGTGCAAATCTTAATTTTGCACGTCAACCAGCCACCTGCATGAAGTCCTGCATTTTGTCTGTGTTCTGTACGCATTTGTTTCTGCATTCTGTTTCATGTGTTTTTGTTGTGGGCACATGACAAGTCATGACGGATCATGACGAGTCATGAATTCTCATGACGACTCATGTTCGTTTGCTAATTTTCATGAACACCTGTAAGCGTTCATGATAGTTACGAGCGCCATGAAAGCTCATGAAAGCTCACGGGTTTTTCATGAGCACTCGTGGCGAGTGTCGAGTGTGTCGGGGGGTGCTGGGCTCGAGTCTTTGACTCGGACCCTTTGACCAATTTCGCGCTGGTCAAAAAGTGCGCGAAAGTCAGGACCCGCGCGTGGGGTCCTGACATGCGCGTGTGGCCCCTCGGGGCCCGCGCGTGTGTCGCAACTGTTGCGACCGTGCACAGTTGCACGATCGCAACAAGAAAGGGCAATTCAATGCCCTGTCCCACGCGAGACAAAGCACGATCGCGTCAGCGATTGGCTTTTCTCGCTTGACCGGAAGTGCCACGGGATTACGGTTGACCAACCGTATCCCGCGCTGACTTGGAAACAGCCGACTTCGCACGAAAGTCACGCTGCTTAGCGTGATGATTTTTCAACAGGTACAAAACGGTGAATTCCGTTTTAATAACGGTAAAAGCCGTTTTACAACTGGGAAACGGGAATCCTACACGAGTGTCCATGATTCCACACGAGAACTCATGAATATTCGTGACGGGAGTCAGCAGGGGAGTTTGGCTTCAGCACAAATGGATTACAGTTAATTATAATGAGGCAGATTGAGCCAAATTCTCCAACAGTTTCACAACTGTTTTCTAATACAGCAAGGCGAAGCCCTGGATTCCAGTTAAGCAACTGTTTTATGTTTTCCTTTGTGTGTTTAGGACTTTATATAAATGTGTGCTTGTACTTGTTCATTCACAATCAATGCAATTACGCTTTTCAAAGCATGGAATTCTACTACTATGTATTGACGAGAGTAGAAACGTAACGTGGTGCTGCCGAAACGCTGCTCGACCAGATTCCTCACTCCACAAATCAAACAAGGCATAACTACTCACTTTGTATCTGTTATACCCTTGGCTATGAGGTGACAAGCTGTCACACTCGGAGGGTTTAAAGTGAAGTTAAATGTTGCAAAGTTTGAGTTTGTAGTTCAGTTTTAAACGCTTCCGCATAGTACTTAGAGTTAACACTTGGGACATGTGTCCTCCCGTTTTCCTTGGACTACCCTAAACCCCCTATTTAATTTCACCCCATCCCCCATTTTTCATATGTCCTCCAATTTTCATTAATTTGAGAACAGTACAAGACCGAGCCAAACAAGAACATAGAACTACACTAAGTCTCTACTACAGGCAGTTATAAAATAATGTGTACAATTACAAAAAGCACCGCACATTGCCGTCCGTACACCTAGTCCAATGGCGTTCCCTTTGGCCTCGGTTGCGTGGCGCGGGGTTGGTGCGAGAGGAGGTGGTGGGCCGGTGAGGCCTCTTCTTGCTTGCCGCTATGATCTGTGTAGCGGCCTTGATATTCTTATCCCCCACCATCTCGCCATGTAGGCCACCTCAAAACCATATTGATCCGCTGGAAATAAAAAATGTTTATTTTCATTTGTCTGATCAACAATCTGCTGCAGGTAGTCCTCAAGTTGCTTACCGCCATGATGCGTGGCGCCGTTGAGGTGGCTGCGTGGAGCCCGAGCAGCTGCATTCCAGTGACGGTGCTGTCGTGGCGGTGCTGTGGGACGACCTCCTGCACATCCTTGTCGTCACTTTCCGGCTCTGGTGGGGCTGATGGTACCGCGCCTCCGCCGCTTCCGCTTCCTCCTGTTGCGCCTCCTGCAGCGCCCGCTGCTCCTTCTCCTGAATCATCGTCGCCATCGTCATCGTCGTGACGATTGCCCCTTGTGAACTCGCCTCTGGGGTCTTGTTCCAGAATGGCCACAGCAGCCTCATCCTCCGGCGTGGCGTAGCTGTGCCCGTCGTTAGCGTAAACTCGGTTCGCGTTCGTCTGCTCGTCTTCGCAAAACTGCTGGAGAAAGAGGCGCTCGTAGAAGATGACGTCGTGCGCGTTCTTGACCTTCTGGCTCAGGAGGTCCAGAATGATCCACGCCTTGTATTCGCGGCTGATGCCGAGGTAGATCCCCAAGCGCGCGCGGCTCTTGAATTTCCCAATGGTTGATGTTGGCGGGCGGTATTGAACCATGCACCCCCACACGCGGAGCATAGATGTGTCCCCCTTTCTTCCCGTCCACTTCACATGTGGTGAGGAGTTCCCGGTGATCGCGGTGGTTGACAGCAGGTTGTGCACCCGCACGGCGTGGTGCATTGCGTAGGTCCAATAGATCGGCGGAAGCTTCGACTGCCTCATTAGCGCCCGCACCTTCGTCATGAGGGTGCGATTCGTGCGCTCTGGTACGCCCTACTGCTGGTGTGCATAGGGAAGGGAAATGTGATGCTCGATCCCCTTTTGCGCAAGGTAATCCTGCAGCTCCTTGCTCCTGAACTCCGCCGCGCCGTCGGACTGCCAGATTTTCAACTTCTCCCCGGATTGCCGCTGTGCGTGCGCCAGCCATAAGCGGAATGCCTCGTATGCTCTGTTGCGCGCTTCCTCGTTTACGACCCACACGTGGCGCGTTCCAGCGTTGACGAAGGTGAGCGTGTAAAGCTCGTCGTTGATGCCGCAATGTCGTACGTTGAGAAAGTCACTGTAAACTTTCTCCAACTTGGCATAGCGATTGGTTCCTGGCTCGAGCAGGGGGGAGGGCTGGTGACTCAGCGCGGCCTCGGGGCAGATGGTGCAGGTGCGCGGGTGAGTTCCGCCTCTTACTTCGGAGCCGTCGGGGCGCAACAGTGCGCCAGGTGCGAAGACACCGGCCTCGATACAATTCTTCAGGGTCACGCGCTAAGGGTGACCTAGGCGCTGGTGCCAGATGGTATCATCGGCGCGAAATCCGGAGGTGTGCATGTAGCGCGCAAGTGCTTCTGTAGGGTCCTCGTCAGGTGCTCAAGCAGGTGTCACCGCTGCTGCCTCGTTCTCTTCTTCTTCGTCTTCTCCGTTCGCCGTCGTTAGCATTAGGGTGAGGAATTCCGTGTCAAGAATAACGGAGAGGGGGATATTGGTTCCAGGAATGGTTCCTGGGAAGAATGTTGGTTCGCGCGGTTCGGGGGCAGGCCCGTAGACGGAACGTCGCGGGGTTGACGGTTCGTTCCCCCAGTCGATAGTGTCCCAAGGGTCACTTCCTGGCGGAATGTCAGGTGGGGGAAGTGCAGGTGCAGAGCGACGCGGGGGACGACCAAGAGGGACAACAGGAGGTTCGGCTTCAATGGCCTCCTCCATTTCTTCTTCCCCCCTTTGGTCCTCGCGGAAGGCTCCCCAGCCGCTTGTCTCGCCGCCAGATGCTGCGCCCCATCCGCCAGTGTTGCCGCCGGTGTCTGCTCCCCATCCGCCAGTGGCGCCGCCGGTTGCAGCTCCCCATCCGCCGGTATCGCCACCAGTGTCGCTTGT